GAGATCCGAGCTCCAGCTCTTGTCTTCCAAAACTGTAACGGCATTGGTGCTCTTAAGACACAGACATTTACTGTGTTCTTTTTCTTACCTCCTTCATCTTCAAGTCACTCTGGGAAATAGTTTTTCAGGTGTTATTTAGGCTGTCAGAAAAGTCTGTCGTCATTAGGAATTTGTGTCATTGTAACTAGTACTACGACTGGAAGTGGCATTAATGAATAATGAACATGATAATCCTATTCTCCTGTGGTGTGACAGTCCCCCAGGTGAGCCTGAATTACAGCAGTGCTATTACTGAAGCATCAACCTTTGGAAAGAATAGGTTGGCAGGCTGTAATCTGTGAAGCACATCACCTCCTGTAGTGAGAAACCTAATTGGCCCAATTGTGAAAACCCATGTAGGAGCCTTGCCTGAGCTTAATTTTGATCACAGAAGAAAAGCTTCTTTTCTAAGAGCAGGGGAATAAAGTGGCAACTGTGGGAGGAGGTGAGCTACAAATAAAACAATTTTCCAAATAAATTCACAATTGGAAGTACTTTTATGGCCTCTCACCTCACAACACAGGCAGCGTTTAGTCGATAGTAGCATCTCAAGTGCAATGCAATGAGTTTTCTCATATTAGCTTTGCATTTAATATTAATCTACAGCCCTATTAAGCTGCCATCATGCAATTCCTGGCTGAGATTGTGCCACATGTGAAAAGTCGCTGTCTGTTTTGCACCCGTGACATAGTTTTTGTAAACATTTGTTCCTAGAGCTTCATCTTCAGTGTACAGAAAAAAAGTACAGCAATTTTCTTTAAGCCTCTACTAAGTTCTGAGGTTGGAGACATAGGGAAATCAAACCAGTGAAAAGCTCCACGAAGTAAACTTTATTTTAGAGAATGTACTGCCAGCCTATGACTGGCATGTGTCTGTCTTTTCTAGATATGTTTGTTTGAACCTGCATGTGGCAAAGCCTTTTGAAAGGTCTCATTTCTTGGAGAAAAAGGCTTTGGGTAATAACAGTGCTTCTCAATTTACATTGATGAGGGTAATTGTCTGGAAAAAAGTCACAGAGAGACTTGCTGTAGAGCAGAATGCTTGGAGAGATTGAAGGCTGTGCAATGGAAAAACTATTTAGGATGAACAAAGGGAGTCTGTTAGATATAACTTATATTTGCTACCAAAGTGATTTAGAAAACAAAAATCCAAATATTTTCTAAAGTTTCAGATCTACTCAGTCTAAATTGAGAGGATGAGGCACCTCAAAAGGCATCTGGTGGTAGAAGTGATTTATGTTATTTGAACAGTCACACCTTTTGTCTGAAAGCAGGTAAGGACTAACAGAGTCACGAAGAAACCAGGCATCTGACAGAACTATGACCTGGGACCCAGTGAAACTCATAGAAATGTTTCACAGGAATATTGAAAACAGATGGTGAACTTCTAGCTTCTAGATTATTCTGAGGGTTGACATGATTTTCTGCATCTGCTGCATGTCTCATGGTATCACATAGGTGACAGCATCCCAGCCAGGTCTGATTCAGCACACACAGTGCCTGGGTACTTGAAGTATCTGAGTTAAGTGGGTGCATGGCTGCAGCTAGTGTGGCTACATCAGTTCCATGTCCAGGGGCTGTCCCTGGCACAGTTTCTTCAGCAAACTTACTTGCACAGGACAGAGAACGAATGTGCTATGTGTCCACTGAAGGACAAGAGGTTATCCAATGCTGGTACAGTTTTTGCAATAAAATACACACACCTCTTCTCAAAGAAGGTGGCATGTGAGGATTTAGCAGTCCAACTTTCACTAGTTTGGCATTTTTGAGTATTTTCATATTTCTGTGACACGACTGAAGGTAGCTGCTCTTTGTTTAATAGCACGTGCAAAAGCCCCTCATTCTAAGTGTTATTTTGTTCTCCATTTTACTGAAATGCATCTGGCCTTTGGTTTGGATTGTTAGACCTGCATAGCTCAATCTTCACTGTTTAGTAACTGATATCATGTTTCCCTTGTAAGTAATCATGTTATTAAATTGTGTACATGGACCAAGAGCAAACATGTTCCAGTAACAACAGGTGTAGAGAAGTTTGCACAGCAATATAGCAGCAAGATCTAAACTGTTCCTTGAATAACTGCTAAAGTAGATAGTTATGAATAATGACTAGTTTTCCAGATAAGGCATATTGCTGTTAAAAATGGAGATGTAATGATGAGATGGATCAGTTTTTTTTTTTTTTAAAGTGCTGCCCTATCTATCAACAAAATTTTCTGTGTATAATTGAAGTGTGCTGCATTTCTTTCTTGATACAGATAGGCTTAGTAAACTCACAGCTCCAGCAATCACCCACCACTCAGGAAAATTAGTGTTTGAATTTACAGCAGCTCTCCATTTGGCTGTCTCAGCTGCATTTTTGAAAAGAAATTCAATTTATAGTTTGTTTATGTGTTTATTGCATTCTCAGTAAGCAACAGAAGGCTTGAGGAAGAATATAAATCTGTTCAAGTGTTTGAAAGGGTAGATAATAGCAGGACAAGAGGAAATGGTTTTAAGTCGAGGGAGGGAAGATTTATGTTGGATGTCAGGGGGAAGTTCTTTACAGAGAGAGTGGTGAGGTGCTGGAACAGGCTGCCCAGAGAGGTTGTGGATGCCCCATCCGTGAAGGTATGCAAGGCCAGATTGGGCCTTGGGCAGCCTGGTCTAGTGTTAAATGTGGAGTTTGGTGGCCCTGCATGTGGCAGGGGGGTTGGAGATTCATGGTCCTTGAGGTCCCTTCCAACCCCAGCCATTCTGTGATTCTGTGTACTTCTTTTATCTATCTGAAACACATGGAAGTCAATTGAAGTCAGAAGTACCCCAGCTGAGTTGGAAGCACATTCTGCCACTACTGCTGTGTAATAAATATTGCTTCTGTCAATAAGTGAGCTTCTTAATTCCAGAGACCACTCATCAAGTGGTTGCTGGCAGGCATGAATAAGGCTGACAACCTCCGACTTTCATGCAGCTCCTTGAATGGAGAAATGCTCACCATGATGGAGGAACACAAAGTCAATCCTAACTAATGTAGATACTTTTTACCATGCGCTTTTCTATGTATTCTCTTATAGCTGCATGGTGAAACTGAAAGGTCAGCTTACTCTTATTAGGTGATTTAGGCTTTCTCATTGAATAGAAAATGTTGGTTTGGGGATAGTAAATTATCAAATAAGTTACTTATGTGTGAAATGAAAAGCCACCTGGAGGTCAATTTCCAGTACATTTATCATGAACTCAGGCAGTGTGGAAATACCCGGCTAAGCCCACTAATTATTTGACTGACTGCTATGACCTGAAAAACAAGATAGGAATATCAGACAATAATGACTTAATTTGGACTTTAAACACTGCTGCTTTTTCAGTCAGGTTCTGTAGGATGTTCCTGCCTCAGACCCATGAGTCTGCAGTGGTAGTAGAAGCCAGAGAGAGCCGCACCCTCATTGATCTTATTAGTTTTGCAGCAAGACCTTTAGATGGCCGAATATAAGGCATGTTCTATCATGCTCAAGAGCCAAGGGATAGCAGAGGTTGAGAGGTGATGCAGTGGTTTCTCAAGGTTTCAGCCTTGCTACTGCAGGATGGAGCTGGCTGCAGGCAACGTGCAGCAGGTTCTCGACATCAGCCAGCGCAATCAGCCTCAGGCATTTCTGCGTGCCCTTTTCTTCCCCATGCCAAGGATTCAGATCACAGTACCTGCGATCACTTCATACCACCTGTGATTACAAACCATGATCTTGAGCAAACAAAAGAATAAAATGGTTTATCAGAAAGCATTCACAAGCTGTGTTTTTTTTTTAGCCTTCTGCTTTTAAGTAAGCTGTACTTTTTTGCTGATTTACTGAAAACTCCTACATCCAAATGTTAATATTGCTTTGATCTGTATACTTAATATTATGGACTTTTATGGTTGTAATTTCTTATTTGCCCAATATGCATCTTCCTGAGAAAATCACCAGTGGCATGTCCACTATTGACACTGTTGAATTTATACCGTTTTTTTTTTTTTTTGGCATAACATATACAAAAGAGTCTTTTTATTTTATTTTTATTTTATTTTATTTTATTTTATTTTTGCAAGGTTCTGTGATATGTTACAAGGTCTAGGCATGTAAAAACAGGACTTAGGTAATTCAGATAAGTGTTTTGTACATGCTCTTAACACTCAGGCTAGAGCCATGCTAAGGACATACATAGCTGCTGAAGTACTTTCAAGCCCTTTGCGTTGACCTGCAACGAATTGTGGGCTTGAGAGCCTGAAGCTTTTAATGGGAAAACACCTGTTGAGGCACTAACAGGTCACACATCTATTGGCTGTTGGTAAGGGAGTGGTCAAGTGTTAAGTCATTTAAAGTCCTGTTGGTAAAGGATTAATAACAATTCAAACAAAGTTGGCTGGCTAATAAGGACAGTGCAGCGTTTGTGCTGTAGTTGTGGCACAGGGCTAAGCTTTGCTGGGCTGGGCTGTGCCATGCTGTGCCTACACTGAAAATGAGGGACAGGCTGAGAGGCACAGCCCTTCTAGAGGTGCTAGTTCTAGGAGTCCGAGTTGCATAACAAAGCCAGCTGTGGTTTTGTTGTGGCATTGTACACTATGTTCACACACTAGGTATGAACTTCTTATAATGCCTTTATCAGTGCATGTGAATTGCTGACACTCTAGAGACTCGTGTAAACAGGAACACTGCTTTTTGCTGTGCTCCTTACAGATACTGCTACTGTTTTATTAAATGAGTTAATTTAAAAGAAATCTGTGCTGAATCTAATAACTCTTAACAACTGAGCTAGTTTTCTTAGTTCTAAACTTGTTTGTCAACTCAGCATCAAGAGGTTCTGCTTTTTTTCTTTTTACTCTATGATTGGCAGTCAACCACATAAATATGAATTTACAGCAGGCAAAAAAGTCATCTAAAATACTAGAAAAAATAGTTAAATGTTCTATTTAATTATATTGAAAATTTTCTCATTCTGTTTTTCTCTTCTCAGTTAGTAGCCTCCATCGTGTTTATCAGCTTTGGCGTGGTAGCAGCATTCTGTTGTGCAATAGTTGATGGAGTGTTTGCAGCACGGCATATAGTAAGTATAGTGATTTTCTGTCATCTTTCATTTTTGATGACTTATGTTCTTTCTAGCAGGAAAACATTTTGTTTTGGCTTGTATCTAGCTGCATGTTATTTCTTGATAATTCTCTTTGTTGGAGAAATATCTTTTGGCAAAAAATCAACAGAAAAGCCCATCATGCCAGTGTCTAGAGATGGTACCAACTATTTATTCATCACTGAGAGGTCCAAACACTGAGGTGCTGTAAAATGATGTAATGATGCTATAAAATGCATGCCTGTTTGCAAATGGAAGATTCTTCAACCACCACCAGCTTCTGGTTCCTTTTGCACATAAGATTTGTGAGCATGGTCAGAATTTGGAAAGCACCAAATGGTAATGAGAACCAAAAGTCTCCTTGGAAGTCTTAGTATGAAAGTAAATTGTGGCAGCACAAAAGGAATATTCTGTTGGAGTACAGGCAGCAGAGGATGTGGCAGGCTTTTGTTGGAGATGCACCTACTGAGTCGCAAACGATCCAAACTTCATCATCTGCCTGCCATCAAAGGTTGGGTCCTTTACCTCAGAATGACTAGTATTTCCAGTATGTCTTCCAAACCCAGTCCCTCTTCTTTGTAATCATGTTTCATGCTAAACAAACACCGTAAGATTCTGACATGACCTGTTTTTGCTTGGGTGGCCATTCTACTGGATGACTCCTGGTATAACTTTGTCTCTGATTAGGACAGAAGTGTAAACCCACTTTTCATGGGAGGTACTTAGAAGAAGAAGGGAGCAGATTCCTATTCAGAGTTTCTGCTGACAAAAGTCCAGTTGTTATGCCCCAGAAAACCTTTTCCATTTATTCAAATATTGGCTCTAACTCCTAATTTCCCAGGAATCAGACATTTTTGTCCTGCTGATGATGTGGTCATTAGAAGATGTTTGGACTGTGTTTGTACAGTAAGGGAAACTTCAAGAACTTGGTTTTTTTTGAAGAAAAAAAAAAAAAAACAAAAAAACCCTGAATCTCATGCTTCCTGAGGGGATAGGTTGTTCTCCTTCGATCACTGTTGGCTCATAATGCCATAGGTTACTTCAGACTCTTAACAGGATAAGATAAGCTCCTATTCAGCATCACTTTGCCATTTTTAGTGACTTGTTTGGGTTTACCTGTATTTCTACCAGATTTTGTGTGGTAGCTTCTTAATCTTCCCTGCCCACTAAGTAGGGTTTTCAGAAGTACATACCATTCTTAACACAAACATAACTTAACTGGTAGTCAGTCTTGTATATAGGATAGCACATGATCTACACTGAGAGCAAAGGGAAAGCCATGTTAACAGTTCTGCCTGCCACCAGCCTGAGAGTCAGGGTGGTATGGCAAGCCCTGCGTTCTCCTTGCCATATGCTTCCAGTTTGCTGACACTGCAGCCAATCAGCTCTTATCACAGTGATGCCATTATGTAGCCACAACCACACATTGCCGAGGTTACACGTGCTTTCACCTTCTTGGTGGTGAGTTCTTGTGTCGGAGGCCAGTGAATCTCAAACAGAATGAATATCAACTCTTTTCATTTTTTTAGGCACTCTTTTAGTCAGTTTTCACCCTTCTGGCCTTAAGTTTCTTTCAAAAATCTTACTTAACTATTCTAGAAATAGCACTGGTTCCTAACTAAATGAAGTATTTTGTATCATATTTGAATATTATCATGTCCTTGTATCTGAAGAAACAGAGCCTCTATCTTGTGGTTGTATTCGTCTCCTCTTTATTGGTGCATCAATAGCTGCATGGCATCTCTTTCTTTTATGTCATGCTCTTGATGTGTCATTGTGGACTAAAAGTGATTCAGTTCACTGCAGTGCTTTCCAGGGAGAGTATGGACTAGAGAGTCATCACAGTGGAGCATGAAGGCAAAAGATCATCCCACTGGCATGACAAGAAGGCGTTTTGCAGTCCTAGAAGTAGTTCTGCATCTGGTTAAGTCAGTGAGTGGGCAGTTATGTCATCTGTGAGGGGCTGGAGACTAGAATGGGCTGCTCACCACCCAGGAATTCCTCAGTGTGTTGGGTATGTACAATCCAATGACAAGGAGCTGATGGAGTCACAGCATGACATGCTTCATAGAAATCTATTTCCTTCTGTTTACATTTATTTCCAAATGTTTACACTTGATCTGTCTCTGCTGATCTCCTTCACGTGTTATAGAATGAAGAAATAACTAGTAGTACCATTTAGCTGGAAAACTAATTTGTGTGTCAATATCCTTCTCGTTTCATCTTGTTCTACTCCTCTATCTAATAAGCTTAATAGGATCCCATGAAACAACTATACATATCACTTCATTTTTCTGACTAATAGACCAGGAGAAATCTGTTAGGATGTTGGTGTAGATACCCTCACAGTCTGATCTGTAGAAAGACGGGCCTTTTTTAAGAGAAGGTATGTCATGCAGGCTATGGAGTTATTGCTGCTACATTGCCTTCCCTCTGCTTTGCAGCTCCTTTTCTTCAGGAGGAGCACTTGCAGCTCACTAGGTTCTGCCACAGGTGGTACCAGCAGTTTTCAGAAATGTCTTGTGCTAGCTTCTTTGGCCATTGCCTTCGGTGTAGTTGATGGAAAATGAAAATAAAATGTCCCCCGTTCAAGGAAAGGAAAGGACAAACTGTGGGCATGTCAGAGCAGGTGCCTGGGCCTACATTAAAACCAAGAAGTATTCACAAGTAGAACATATGCAGTGATCACTTTTCTGTCTCCAGTATTGGGGTGCTGATACCAGTACTCCAAGTTCCTTTTTCCTGGGGGAAGAAGTGCTAGCTGAAGCCAGGCTGGCTTCAGACATCAACGAGTACAACATTCTCCTTCACATCAATTTGGAATAAGAACTGTCTGCTGTTTATCACTTTATTTTTAACTTCATGTGAGTTACGAGGGATGCTAAGACAACAAATAATGATATTACAGCTTTTTCTCAGTGTGTGCCTGCTGTCAAATGGAGACTATTACTGTTGCATGTCTTTTTTGCTTCTCTTGTAACAGTGTGCATGGAATAAGAAAATGTTTTTTTCCGTTTCATTTGTTTTCAAGAGGGCATAAAATTGATAAAAATTCTTCCTGGAAAGGAATATATTTCAGAAAAGAGATGTTTAAATTATTTAAGACTCAGATGAAAACACTTTGCTTAATAGAAAGATCTGGAGCACAGCACTTACAAAATTTAAAAATGGAAGGAAAAGTAGCTCAATTTTTAAACCAGTAGCTTATTTAAAAAGAGTAATGCAGATGCAATTCATTATATAATTTCACCCTTCAGCTGCATTTTTACCCTTAAAAAAAAACAAAAACAAAAAAACAGAGGCAAATGGAGAAAATCAAAATTAGAACTAATGTACAGTGATATTATTTTAGAAAAATATGGTAATTACAGGACTCCATTATCTTTGATAGTGCTTGCTTGAGACATTTTGTTATTGTGCAACAGCTAATATGGATGACTCAGCAACTTCTTGTAACCAGGAGACCCCATCTCCCACCTCACATGAACCTTCTTTGCTGGATCCACTGCCTTCTACAGTGACTGCAAGCCTTGACAGCTGCTACACGATCCTTAACTTTGCTGTTATCCCCTCAGGCAGATACTAAAATAGCCAACAGCAAGAAATTAAGAAGTGAGGAAATTGCCTCCAAGAGCTTCCTGAGGAAGTCAGGTAGATGAAGAGAAGGGTAGCAAAGCCATGGGCAAGCAAGTTGTAGAGATAAATGTTTTTTGTTTTTTTTTTTTTAAACACACTCAATTGGAAATCAGGGAATATCAATACTGACACATGTCTGAGCTTTATTTTTCCTGAAGCATGAGATAAAAAGAAACTCTTGTGTGCCTGAAAGCTCTAGAAGGAACAAGGGACTTAGGAAGGATAAGTCCTCTCTGCTTGACTATTAAAAGCTGCTTTTTGATCTTGCTCAGTGGAATTTGTAGACCACATCGTGATAGATGTATTCAGGGAGATTCACTAAAAACAGCAGCAGAGATGAAGACCTCAAGATACCATCACCAAGAAAAACATATATACCTGTGACACTGCGACTTGGAACTGTTGTCGTTATCTTTTCTCTAGACACTTCGATTTTATCTTCTGAATATCAGTTTTTCAGGTAGTTCAGTATAGTATATAGTATCTATATATAGGATTATAGTTCTCTCAGAATCACAGAATTGTAGGGCTGGAAGGGACCTCTAGAGATCATCTAGTTCAACCCCCCTGCCAAAGCAGGCTGCGTACAGCAGACTGCAGAGGTAGGCATCCAGGTGGGTCTTGAACATCACCAGAGGAGGAGACTTCACAACCTATCTGCTCCCGTCACCCTTTATTGTCAAGAAGTTCTTACACACATTTGTGTGGAACTTCCTAGGCTTCAGTTTGTGGCCATTTCCCCTTGTCCTATCTTCACACGTCGCTGAAAAGAGTCTGCCCTCTTCCCTTTCCCACACCTTAGATATTTGTAGACACTGATCTGATTCCCTCTGAGTCTTCTCATGGCTGAACAGACCCAGGTTGGTCAGCGTTTCCTCATAAGAGAGATGCTCCAGGCCCTGTATCATCTTTGTGGCCTTCCACTGGACTCCTTCTGGGAGATCCCTGTCTTTTTTGTACCTGGGAGCCCAGAACTGGACGCAGTACTCCGGGTGAGGCCTCACCAGGGCAGAGTAGAGGGGGGGATCACCTCCCTTTACCTTCTGGCCATGCTTTTTTTTGAAGCACGCCAGGATGCCATTGGCCTTCTTGGTAACTAGGGCACACTGCTGGCTTATGGCCAACCTGTTGTCCACCAGGTCACCCAGGTCCCTCTCTGCAGAGCTCCTCTCCAGCAGGTCACCTGTACTGGTGCATGCGGTTATTCCTCCCGAGGTGTAAGACTCTACACTTGCTTTTGTTAAACCTCATCAGGTTCCTCTCTGACCAACTCTCCAGCCTGTCCAGGTCTTGGTGAATGGCAGAACGTATGGCTTCTGGTATGTCAGCCATTCCTCCAAGCT